TTCCCAGATAGCAAAATATTAATGGATCAACATTGAAATATAGAGGGCAGAAATATGTATTCAGGTTGAAACCTGATGTTGACAGTGCAAAACGTGATCGATGCTTATATGTTGAATCAACTTCTTTTTTTAACCAAAGCTGATACCATATAAAGTATAAAGTTGATTCAACCATCATCTAATTTGGATACACCCATATTGAATCAATAGGCCTCATTCAAGAACTATTCGTAAGAAAAAAAATTGTTCTTGAATGGTTACAAATGATTTAGGATCAAATGTAGAATTCACAATTTTTCCCCTATTTCTAATCTTCTCTCAGGGAGGATCCTATTGTACGGGTGCTCCAGACTTGATCTAGGAGTCTTCCTCAATCAGTCAGCTGTTATCCAAACCTAGTTTTTCACTAAATTACTACATTTCATTTTACAATTTTCCACTTTATTAGGCTACATCATATATTATGCAATTGGAAAATTATAAATCAGATTTTTTTTGACTGATGACAGAACTATCTGTCACTACAAGGCATGTCGGTATCCAGGGGACACTTTAATTTGCTTTTATTTTGTTAAAAAAAAACAGTCAGAGATCAAGCTACTGTTGAAATAACATCTGGAAAAGAATATGGATAGAAAGTTAGCATTGATTTCACTCGATGGCAGCTCCTTGACTATGGAGTCAGAAAGAAGTCAAAATGTTTTTAAGTTTACAATAATTTTGACCCCTTTCTGACTCCATACTTGACTTTTTATTACACTAAATGTGGAATATTTGGGTTTGGATCTGTCTAAAATATTTATGCATTGTATGAGAGAAATGGAGAGTGGGATGAAGGGATGATATAAGTGGTCTGGAGATGTGCAGTTTGTGTATTAAAAGGAGATTTTGCAGAATTTTGTGTTGTTTTGGTCAATGGCGATTTACATAATATTTTGTACCTCTTTTTTCCATTAGTAGTTTCATTGAATAATTTCAGAACAAATGATTTTTCTTTACCTATTTACTTCTGTCACAGTGAAACTACGGTATTTACAGGTCTTGTAATTTATATCCCTCTGCTTGGTTTTTTACTGGTCACTGCTCAGCCCTCCGTCAGTTGAACTTTGATCTCTGAAACAGTAAAGATTATCTTCTTCATCTTCAATGCCATTTCTATGAATAAACATCTTTTGACAAGCGTGGGAAGTCGTTGCCTTATATAGAATTAATGGGGTGGTAATTATGCAGAATTACATTTCTCAGGAACACACAATCACTTACGCACAGGTCGACTGCATTAAGTTTACAAGCTTTTACTGAGGTGAAGGAAATTTGTTGACTCTGATGTGAGGTGTTAGTAAAATCCCATTGTAGGAGAAAATGTAAGAGAAACAAGAATACGCAAAGGTTGTTTTAATTCAACCATCATCTAAATGATGCTTGATGTCTATGTCTCAGATAAAGTCCTAATCATTGGAACCCAAGTCAGTATTTTATTACTACAAATTGTGAAAGAGATTTATGGGGATTAAACCTAGGCAAGGCGCAGTACCTTCCTCTAGTTCTATCAAGAAGCAGGTAAAGAATAGTAAACAAAAAAAGATAAAATGTTCTGTATTTACAGCTTTGAGGACAATAAAAATGAGCCAAAAACAAAGTGAGATGTTGTGCTAGATATTTATTATAGCTGCATTCTGACACAAACTGTCAAACGTGTTACTTTGCCCTTAGTAAGCCTTATCTGCCGTTAGTTTTGTTTTAATAAAGTCTCATATAGAAGTCAATTAGGATTCTGCCTTTTCCTCCGTGAAGCAGTCAACCACATAAAGACTAATTTTAGCTCATAGCTTTAAGTGAAGATGTCCCAGGGGAACAGTTTGATAAGCCTGGTGAGAGAGGACAAGCCTCTCCTTACCAGACAGCTGTGCTGCACACTTTTTTTTTTTTTTTTTTTTTTTTTTTTACGGTTTTTTTAATTTTTTTCACCTTCCTCATCACCTCCAGCTCCTTACTCTCTCCTCACTCACTCCCACTCTATAGATAACGAGTTTTAATGCAGTAAATTTGATATGGTGGAGAAAGTCAGAATTTCCCCCCAATACTTATCTCTGTCTACCAGGCCTTCCCAGATGGGCTGCCCTCCAACCTTTTTACTCCAGTAAGCATGGAGCCAAGCCTTCCTCACCACACACTCTATATTACAAACTTTACCAATTACATCATATCTTTTTCTGTAGGTATATTCAAACATTACGCACAACTTATTTGTCTATTAACTCTACAAAACCCCAAAATCACCCACTTAAATTTCAGCTGATATTAGTAACATAAATCTATAATATCTTTTACACCCAACAGTAAAGACATAATATTCAAATAACTTATGTCTGTTACCGTAAAGACAGGGAACATAGTAAGACATTTAATGCCTTGCTGATGATTATTTTGATACTAGAGAAAGACTTAATGACTGACATGTGTAAAATGGGTTTTCCCTATGAATATTTATGGTATAAAACTCAATCATATTTAACCACATGTCTCCTTCTGATAACCCGCCCTTTTTCTCCCCAATCTACCGGCAATTTCCACCCACTCCTCTCCCTCCTGTGCTGTATTCTTGATCATCACCATCATCTCTTTTCCTCTCCACTTTGCTCTGCCGTTGACCTCCCCACCCTGCCGTCCTTCATTCTTGCGGCACAATTCCCTCCCTCTACCTTCATGCCACCACAACAGCATTCCTTTCATTCTGCCTTCCTCTCTTAGATTTAGCCTCTGTAAAACCTTGTTATCTGAAAGAAAATGACAGAAAATAGGAAGTCTTAAATGAGGAGAAGGGGGTACAGATGGAGGTAAAAGGTGACAGCCTTGGATTTATTAGATAGAAAAGATAACATTGGGATGAATGGAACAAAAGAAGTCCACAGGCTCATCTTTCTCTGTGGGTAAAAGCTAATTAACTGCAAAAAGGCTTTATAATATTTGCATGGATTGAAAAAAGTTGAATGAATTAAAAGGGCAAGACAGAAGAAAAGTGATCATCAGGAAATAAGTTAAATGTATTGGAAAAATAATTGACATAGGAATGATAATCATCCATAAATTGAAAGAGAGAGTGAAATATTAACAGAAAAATTGATGTCATATCAAAAAGGATTATGTCAAATTAAAACTAATGAGTAGTCCTAAAAATGGAGAAAAAAAAGTTGGCAGAAACAAAAAAGAAAATCTGGCCAACTGTGTGGATGGTGAAAAACAAAATTCAGAAAATACTCACCAAGCAGAAGAAACAAGTCTAGAAAAAAGGCAATCCAAAAGCTAACAAAAGAGCAGCAAGACAAGCACCTCCATCCAATTTCTATATCCTCTTATCCTTGTTGGGTCAAGGTGATTGCGAAGCAGAAGGGCTGGAGCCTAGCTGCATGTATGTTTTGCTTATTTTATTGGTTATTAGTGGAAGATAGAGCAGATATGGGCCAAGTGAGATGATGGTATAGATTAGTAGCTGAGGTAATAGGATAGTCTTTATGATTAAAGATTTTTCCAGCAAATGCTTGTGGACAGAATCGCAACGTAATCAAAGAGGAACTCTGTGGTGTGAAGGTGAAAGTTTGTAGAATTATTAAAATTGTACTGTGACAACCTCAGACTTCAGTATCCTGCTATTATTCAAAACCATAGTGTTATCTTTTTTTTTGTTTGAAAAGTAACAGTTTAAAGGGCAACACAAAAAAATTACCTGATGATAACTGAGAGTCAAAAGTGACTCATTACTACTTACTGTGCATTAAAACCAAAGAAAACATTGAAGCATTTAAATAAATATAAAAGTTTGAATCCAATCCCTTTCAGCATTTGTATCAGGAGGTTATTATATATTTTTTATTTAAGTCAACATATGGTGTTTTAACAACTGTTAAAATGCACAAGAGGTGGGATTGGCTGTGGACATTCATGGGGTATATCCAAGCAAATTAATGAAAAGTTAAATGGGAGGAAAATTGTGCCAGAAAAATTTGCACCTGTGCAAAAGCAAAGGGAACAATCACAACAATGAAATGATTGTGAAGCAAACACTATTGTAACTTCAGAGGTCACTAAATGTGGACTGCAGCTGGAGTAACTGTTGGATTGGTGTGTTAAGCCATAATCTTTAAGCAGATACATAAGTAATATCTTGTTTAGGGCTAAGGAGAGAAGAATGGATTGGTGCTCGTTGGTTCTCAGTGGGTGAAAGTTCTCTGTTAGACTAAATAATATTTTGCATCTTATTTTAAAATCAAGGTTCCAGAGTTGGAGAAAGATTAAAAGGAACAAATTCCAAGTTTTTTGAGATATAGTTGGATTATGGTTGTTCTGCTGACACCCAGATTCTGATAATATTTGCCCAATCTACTAAAAAACAATGTGGGCAAATAAATTGAGTGTTAATGAACCGGGCCAGCAAATCAGTCAGACCTAAATCCCACAGGAAATAACACATTGACACTAGAAGCAACAAGAAAATCAAAAGCAAAGTTTCCTTCCCTAGCAAGTATATCTACTGTACATGATCAGCTTTATTCAGTTAGCCTACATTTCTAGAAAAGAAGTTCTCATTTTTTATAAGAAGCTGAATTTTTGGTCGTTGTTGGCTATAAGTTAAATGAATGAAATAAATGCTTGAAATAAACCACCATTTTTATAAATTGTGTTTAGACTTAGACTTGGCCAACTTTTATTGTCATTTTGCATGCAATGTTGTATGCAAAACAAAATTTTGTTTTGTACAGCTTTCAGACAGTAAATGAGCAGCAACTTGGCAGTGAAATTAACATTTGCATTTCATAAAGTGCAGCAGTTAAATGTAAACAGCATGGGAGAAAAAACATGGTGCAAATCGTACTGAAATTATTAGAAATGAATTAACAAGTAAATCTTACTTTACAATTTGAGTCCAATTTATTAAGACTCACCTATAATAACTAACAGTATAGTCTGTCATGCACTGAATTATTGATCTGCCTTCTCTGCAGTTCCAGTCATCGTTGCTGAACAGCTCAGTGGTCCAGAGTGATACACCCAACGTTGTCCTTGAGGGCCTGAGGCCTGGCACAGGCTATGTGGTCCAGGTGAGGGCCCGCACTGTGGCCGGCTACGGAGCCTACAGCAAAGAGATGCTCTTTCAAACCCTCACTGATGGTAAGAGCGTGGGTGGGTGGCTGGAGTGTGTGGAGATGTGTGTGAGTGGAGGTTTTCTGTAAGAGGAAAGGGTTTCTGAGAGGGAAAAAGGTTGTAAAGCGAATGCCTGTCTGTAAGGTGATTCATTTTGCCCACATATTTAGAGTTGTTGGAGATTTTAGTTGTTTGATACATATTCACTGTCGAATCGCCTGTCGTAGGCATATGAAAGAGAGAGAAAAATAAAATCCCTCATACCAGTTTGTTTGCTAAATTATTTATGTATTTGTTTTTGCCCCTGCAGATGAGTACAAGTCAGAGCTTGGACAGCAGCTCTATCTGACTGCAAGTTCTTTAGTAGGTGGAGTGTGTGTCGTCTCATTGGTAGCTCTTGCCATCATATGCACCAGGTAATTTCTTAACATATTAATTGCAAATAACAGTGTTTTTAAGGAAATAATTAATGTAAGTGGAGGAAATCTGCTATCAAGTCAAAACTAGTCATATGACCCTAAATACAGAATTTTAGATACTAGAATGTGATCAAGTATTATATTTAAAAGTAGTTTTAAGTAAATTATAGTGTTAACCCATTTCAAATGAAGTGAATCATAATTGAGACCTCTGCATCATCATTGTGATATTTCTGTTTTTGAAAACAGATATCAGACACAAGTAGAGAACAGAAAATCTATAAAAGATTATACATATAATGTATTTCAAATGATGCACATGTTAGGCAAATAAATTATCAAATTTAACCTATAGATAATTTCAATATACACAGAAGCTACGTGACAACTGTAGTTTGAAAAACAAACAATTTTCTGAAAGTAATAATTTAATGATCCAGGCTTTAAACATTTAAAATTGGTTAATAACATAGGTAACTATGAAATATAAACAATCAGAACTCAAATTTAGCATTTAGATTAAATAAAAGATCAATTATTTTTAAGCTAACAGGTTGTAAACCTGTAGATCAATGAGAGTTTGAGGGTGAGTATGTTGGTGTTTGATATATTTATCTTCAGTGGAATATTTTCTGTTCAGTGGAATATACTTATTTTACTGTTTTTTATTCAAAATTTTGTTTAATCATCTGTAGCTTTAGTTAATCTGAAATATAAACTTTACTATTTAACAGAGATTCTTGAAAGTACAGAATGAGATTTAAAAATTATTGTTTTTCTTCTAAAATAAGGACATTTAAAGAACTTTCAACAGCCGTTTTCACTTTGCTTTTATCTTCTATGCAAGTCTGGGCCAATATTTTCTTTGTTTCTGCTATCAGGTATATTTCTGGGGTTAATCTCTGAAATCTGACCTTTTCGATGGGTGAACACATTTTTTTTTTTCCAGGTAACTCTGAGTTATCTGAAAAAACTCAATTGGTTCCATTTAAAAATGGCTTTCCAATGAGTTGACTTAGTTATGGTATGCTTACGCACAAATGATAGCTGCTGATCTTGTCTGGCCAGAGGGCATTAAGAATTCATCTCACCTAAATACTGTTTAGTTTGCTCTGACTGATTGTTGTCTTTGTTGTTCTACAGGCCTCTAGCCAAAAAGCTAAATCAATTTCATTGGTTTGTGTTCATTTCAACTGCTCTAATTCTCTATTTACTTGTGTTGAAAATGTTATGGATCTATAGAAAATGTTTTCCTTACCTTTCAGTTTTTTTACATCTGGACTAGAACTTTTTGCAGTAATTAAATATTTCAATTAAACACATATATTCTCAAGTGTTGAAGAAGATTGTGAATTCGAACATAGTTTGTTGTATAGTGTTTCATATCAGTTGATATTTATAATTATATATATATATATATATATATATATATATATTATACATTTTTTTTTAACTAAAAGAAAGACCAGGGAAAGTGCTGATTGAAATTGTTTCCCTAACCTTTGCTGAACTTATGCATGAACCATAAAAAGGAGGGCAGCCCTGTCACCAACCTTACTTAGCTTGGCTTATAGAGGTTAAGAGGCTAAATCCTTCTCTCTGCTCAAATCACCGAGAATGCAAGGCGGTTCTGGAGAAGGGTTCAGTGCAATTATAGATCTTTCTGTCAGACATATTTTCTATTGATATTGATAAGGTATGTATTGTTATATATTCTGATATTATTTTTTGCCCAGCCTTAGCTGTGGATAAAATCCAATTACTGCTCTAACCAATGTGGCAACTATGCAGCCCCAGTTGACATCTGAAACTCATAGCTTCACTTCATTTTCTAGAGTCAGATACACTGTAATTCAAGCTTTTCTAATTCCTGATTTTGATCATTATGGCTTACACCAATTTAAACCCCAAAATGTTTTTTCTTAGAGAATAAAACATATGACCAATCATAAAAAAGAAAGGAGTCCTCTTTCAGGATTATTATTGAAATTATCTTATGGTCCTCTTGTGCTCTAGACTGACATAAAAGTTGTCTGTCAGATAGTATATTTTCTTTCTACTTGCATCCTAATATGTACGGAAATCATAGCAGCTGCTTGAACCGCTCTGTGTAGATCTTAGTTTTGCTTGTGAATGTACTGTATTACAGTACATTCACAGGTGGGTAGTAAGTAATTAGTTACATTTAGTAACTCGAGTTACAGTTTGAAAAAAAAAAAAATTATGAGTAGGTTTATTGTGCTGTACTTTTTATTTTTACCTGAGTAATATTGTTGAAAGTATCACTACTCCTACCTGAAGAAAATCTCTGAGTACGGTGTCCTCTCTGAGTAATTTGAACCATTACAAAATCAGGTAAACATACAGTAGATATAAACAGTGGAAGTTTGTTCCCTTACCCTAATACTGTATATACTGTTCTCATTGTACTGATTGGTTTTCTAAGTGCCAGCACCATTTATAAACATTAAATCAGATGTTATTATCCAACAGTTTCTTAGCAGCCTTTTTAGCGAATACTATTTTACTTGAGTAAAAAATTTTTTAAAGTATTGCTATTCTTACTTGAGTACAATTTTTGGACACTCTACCCACCTATGGATACTTCCCATTTCCTAACTGATGAAACATGCAGAAGTAGCACTAGACAAGAACAGAACTTAATACAGTACATGGAGATATGGTATTTAATTAGACTACCATTTTTGTATTTAAATTATCTGCTTGGTCTTCATGTTAACATGTGGGCATATCTGCCATTCCCCTTAATTGTCATGATATAAACACAACATACAAGTAGGACAAGAAATAAAACTAAAAACTTGACATATAATAAACTATACATAATACATTGAATAAAGAATGAATTTCTATTTTTTGGTATAGATGATTAAATAATCAACCTTCTGATTATACCATAATTTATTGAAATGTGCCATTATTATGTATCTTCTAAAGATCTAATGACAGATGAAGAAACTGCAGGGAGCTTCTACTTGTTCTTTCATTTACGAGGTGAAGCTAGAAAAGCGAGAGCTGATGACAGAGTGCAGTAATAGTCGTTTAAACTTAGCCTTCTCTTTTGACCAGAAGACTATTTTACCTCAACCCAGTTTGATATAGAATTGTCAATTTGCATTTTACTTTTGCAACATTCAGAGCTGTTGTGTAAAATGTATGTGTTCTTAGGACTTCTTCCCCTGAAGCTTTGGCTGTTTTTCCTTTCTCACTGTAGGAGGAGACATTTGAAGGAGAGTGTGTATGGTGACAAGCTGCAGCAGTACAACACAGGAGGAGGTACAGCCGCAATCTTTATTTCATTGTTATGAAAATTATTAATGAAGCAAAAATTCTGCTTTCACACACACACCCACAGACACACTCACACCCACAAGCACATTTTTTCTATCCTCGTAGGGACTTTCAATTGACTTCCATTCACTGCTAACCAATTTCTAATGCCTAACTGGGACCCTAGCCCTAATAACCATTACAGGTTCATACTTAACCCTAATCCCAACCTAAACTCAATTCAAACCTTAGTCCTAAACCTAACACCTAAGCCTAAAACAGCTTTTTACTGAGACACTGGTCCCCACTAAAGCACTCTGTCTCCATGATGTGCTAAGATTTATGGAAAATCGTCTCCTCCATGTAATGAATAGACGCCCACACATACATAGCCACGCCTACGTAAACACACACACACACACACACATATATATATATATATATATATATATATATATATATATATATATATATATATATGTCTATACTAATAACTTTTTACTTTATTTTTAGAAATAACTCTGAGGCCCGACATGTTCAGTGGTCCGACCCCCACTGTGACTTTTCCCACCCTATCTGAGGGTCGCAGTTCACCAGGGGTCAAGATCTACATTGACCCTTTTACCTATGAAGACCCCAATGAGGCGGTGCGGGAATTTGCCAAAGAAATTGACCCTTCCTGTGTCAAAATAGAGGAAGTCATCGGATCAGGTACAGATTTACATAAACTTGGTGCTTTTGAACGATTGATGGTTTCAATTTTTTTGAACATTTGACTCTGGAGGCTGTTAAATAATTGAAATACAGATGCAAATACAATTCCTGTCTACTTTAAAAAAAGTAAGTGAAATATTAAACAGAGAAAGCTATACAGTACTTTGGTTTATTTTGTGATTCTAGCTCTCTTGTTAACCAGCTAAAAAAACTCATATGAGTCAGTTCCCTTACTGTTCCACATTTGTGTGTCAAAAAGAACGATCTGGAATCATGCAATGGCAATTTATTATTTTGCTTTATTATTTTTTTCCTTTGAAGATGGCATGTTTTATTCATGCAGCAAGCTTTCACAGGAATAAATTAAAACTGTCTTCTTGCATTTTCTTTTGAGCTCAGTCTCTCTCTGTAAAAATGCTGTGTGATGTTTGGCAAAAGAAAAAAGCTGGTCCCAAAACTTCATCAGAAGTTATTATTTTGAGGCTATAATCTCTGAAATTGAGCTTTTTAAAGGAGTAGGAAAAACTGATGCAAAATTTATCAAACAACAGTATAAGTCAGAATTTAATTAGCCAAACACACTTTGCTGATTAAAATCCATCCTATGCTGTCAAGTATCAGCTTTTTAACATTCCACATTACTTTTTATACATTTTCCCCCTGTTTTATTAGTTTTTATCTGACTGCACTGCTTTTTTTTCCCCATATATTTTGGATCTGTTGTAGTCAATGGTGGACAAAGTACTCAAGAGTAGTAGTTGAGTAAAAGTTTTGATGCTCATAGTCAAATCTTACTCAACTAAGTTAAAGTTACTCAGTCAGACATCGACTGAAGTTAAAGTATTGAAGTACTCACTTTTGAAAATACTTAAGTATTCAAAAGCACATTGATTTAAAAGTACTTAACTATTCAAAAATAATAATTAAACTTTATTATATCAGTACATTTCTGTGTAATTTTCAGTTTTATTTTGAGAGTAATTTTTAAGTACCATGTAACTTTCAGAAACCACCTGATATATTGATGCTTAGAACCACTTGCTACAAATTCTGCACAACTTGTAAGGAACTTCAGCATTAAAATGCTCAAAAATGTTATTTTGGTTATTATTTCTTATTTAAAAACAAAGCAAAAACAACACAGGATTGTCCTGCTTCTCCTCACATTTTCATTATGAAATAGAGGTTCAAGGTTGAATCTATTACCGCAAAGAACCTGCAACTCCTCCTACTAAAGAACTTCGTTATATGGCAACACCCTAATTAAAATTATAAACTAAAAAAATATCTGCCCTGAGTTTCTCACATTTGTGGAAGGTCATGCAATTCTCTAAAACAGCGGAGTTCAAATTTAGTCCTAAGGGCTGCTATCTTGCACATTGAAATCGCATTTAAAAAGTAACAAGTAACTAGGAGCTTCCTTGAAATGCAGCAGAGTAGTAAAAGTAGAGTAGTTTTGGAAGTACCTTCCAAAAAATTACTCTACTAAAGTTCATATATTTTGAAAAATTACTTAAGTACAGTAATCAAGTAAATTGCAACATTGGTTGTAGTTTCATCCCTTCTAGATCTTCTGATGTATGAATGTTATCAGTCAAACATAAATACCTACTGTTTTAACATCTGGACCGTTTTTTTTTTCCCTCTAATAATTTTTTATTGCTTTTTCAGGTTCATGGTGACAATAGCAGGATAGACAAAGTACATGTTGAAAATCATAAAATAATAACTAAACTGTTCTGTTGTTTTTCTTTTTTAAACAGAGAGATTTACTAATTTGTTTTACTACTAATATGGCTTATTAAAGTGTGTGTAATGTTCTAAGGGTTTCAAGGATTCAATCTTCATCTTTTTGGTTGGATTATGAGTATTGTTTATTGGATTTTAATATTTAAAGGATAGGCATCATAGAGAACCATGTGACAGGGATTGTATACTTAGTCTGAGGTATGACATGTAAAAAAGTACTATTCCGGTACCTCATAGTTTCTCTGTAATCTCTTTTAGATTATGTTACCTTTCATTTTATTAGATAATATTTTTCTTTTAGCCCACTTAAGATCAGATGGAGGCATGTTTTTTCTTTAGATTTTGTGCCCCTGATAACTCATAACTTATTTAACACAGGACCAAAAACTAATCACACCCAAAGCACCCATTGAGCCCCTGGTGTTAAAGGTCATGGACTAGATCCAGACCCTCACCACTGCAAGGAAGGGCTTTGGCCTTTGCTCTGCCGAGCCACTTTGAGGAGCTTTTGGTAATCTCTTCTTTTAGTGCTTTATTATTCTGAGCTAAGGGATTCTCATTCCAGCCAGAGGTGAACGAAGAGAAATGAAAATGACATGAAAGGAGGGAAAAACAAGGAGGGGTGAGATGAGATGTGGTCACACTTTGACTACTTCAAGAACTCCATAACTCACTTTTTCTAAGTGAGAGAAAGACTCTGTCAGTGGATCTGTTACTTTTTTTTCTTTCCTGTGCTCCTTTGATTCTCTATCCGATCCTCAGTGCTGACTTTGATTTAGACCCTCTTGAGTTTAGGTTTGTTTTTGAACATAGAAATTCTAAACAATGAACTATGGAAGGAAACGCAGAATAACAGATTGAGAAGTGAAGATTAAAGAAAGAGCCTTAAAGAGATAATAAAAATATCCCACCTGACTCCCTTTTTTCCTTTCCTCTGTAATAATACCCTCTCTTCCCATTACTATCACCCACTCCGTAGGAAATGTCCTTCACAGAAAGCAATTTGTTTGACTGAAGAAAAAGTCGAGAAACACATTATATTTATAATAGGACAGACCAAGACATCTTGTCTAACAGTCCTTTCCTAACAGAGTCTAGACTGAACGTAGATTTGAAGAGCGTCCTCTTTTATTCCCATTCCATCTTCTCTCCGTTCTCCTTCCTTCATTCATCTGTGCCTGTTCTGGTTTACAAGACTGACACAAGGTAGTTTTTAATGAGCGATGATATGTGGAGCACAGATCACTGTGAGCCTCGACGGCACGGCCCTGTCATCCAATTCCCATCTCTCATCCATTATTCACGCACCAATTTTATCTGTGGAGCGAGAGCTTTTATTTTGAAGTTAATTCAATTCTTATGTACTCCATCATCAGATTTGTGGGTTTATTTTGACAAAAGAGATGTCTCTGCAGAATGGAAATGTTCAGGTTGTTGAGGTCACAACTACTTTTTGATCACATTATTTTTATCACATCAGAAAATGCATACCAGGTGACCAAATACGAAATTAAATATTGATGGTTTTTATGAATTTGACACAAAAAATATTTTCTAATCATTTGTTTGATACTTGAAAAAAATGCAGCTTAGTTCACCAAAATGCTTTCATATTAAATGTTTATGCTAGTATCTACTTGAAAGTAATCGGAGACAGAGGTTAATTTTGATTTCAAAAGGAATATATAAGAGCAACTATTTTAGGTTTTATACACCTTAGATTTGTTGGCAACTAGATTTAGACTTGATTTCCAGAAGGAAACTAATGATTTTTACATTCATATTGACAATGCCTCAGGTGAATAATTAATTTAATTTAATTGAAAATGTGTATATATTTAATTAGTTGTAATTTAATAAGAAACCAAAAATTTTCAAAAATGGCGGAGTTTATTGATAGCAGGGAGTCCTACCTTTTTTTTAATTTGCATTACAGAACATTGCATTAAGAGTGGTAGTCTGCCTCTTTAATATGGGGCATCAAAATACAATCCCAGTTGTGTAAGAAGCATGAAACCTATGTGATCTGTGCAAGTTTCAAAGGCTGTATACTGATCTCTAAGTAGGGAAGCAGCAAAAAGGACTTATGCACTTCAACATTCTGCATGTTTCTTTAAGGCCCTTAATCGGTTTATACTTATTTTCCTTTTTTTTGTTCAGTTTTCTTCAGGTAACATACCTTTAGAATGACAATTTGAAGACATTTTTATATAGACGTCTTTTATAAAGACCACACCCTATGTTTTGCTTTAAAAACAACATTTAAAAGCCGTTGTCATATTAAACTAATAGTTGAAATATGTTTGTACGAGAAGATTTTAGGAAATTTTTTAAGGTTTTGATGCATTTAATTATTGACCTACTTAAAAAAAGAAAATAAAATCTTCAAGAAAATGTTTTGAAATAAACAATTCGATTATATATCGAAGGCAAGATGATTAACAAAGAAATCGTTGCAAGTTACAAAGGAAAAAGCGCTGCCTCTGATTGGAGGTTTTTATTGGTTCATACATGTGGGATTTATGTAGTTTTGATTTAATTCATGTAAGTCTCAAATTCCTACACTCTTTCAATTTTTGCCTTGTTGAAATGTATGAATAAAATTATTAGTAACAACTATAAAAAATATAGCAGTATGTTACACAAAAGATTCAAACCTTTAACTCTGCCTCTTTATCCATCAGGCTTTATTTCATCAAAAGAATATAGTACTTACAGCAAAGCTATGTCTATAGGCAATAATGGCAATGATCTTTGTCCTGTTCAAACACTGAAAAAGGTATGTGTCATTTCTAACTTATAGAAAACAGCAATAGAAAGACTCCCTTTGTTTATTACACATTTAGACCAGAAAAAGGATTCTGCCCTTTAGCCTCTCTCTGTTCTGGTAAAGCTGCTCCAGCTGAGTCCATCAATATGACACCAAACCAACCCTAATTTAAAAAATAAATCCCTCATATTTCTTTCACATTTGCACATTTATACAGTAGATAACGACCATTCATCAACTTCTTCTTTTCTTTTAGAATAATGGATTTTTTTTCCTCAAAAGTGGACAGCCTTCTGAATTAACATCTTGCATTAGATTTTCCCCGATTTTTTTCTTCCTAATATTTGTTCTAATATTTACTCTTCTTAAGGTGAGTTTGGGGAGGTTTACAAAGGTCGCCTGAAACCTGTTGGGAAAAAAGAAATCCCTGTGGCGATCAAGACGCTTAAGGTGGGCTACTCTGAGCGTCAGAGGAGAGATTTCTTGGCCGAGGCATCAATCATGGGCCAGTTTGACCAGCCAAATATCATCAGACTGGAGGGCGTGGTCACTAAAAGCAGACCGACGATGATCATCACAGAGTTCATGGAGAATGGAGCTTTAGACTCATTTTTGAGGGTAAGGAGCGTGCATGCATCTTACACTGTTTACAAACTAAAGCAAGGCTTTAGTTATGTAGACACTCTCAACAAACAAATGTTCGCACACTATGCAAACAGTGTATTGTTAACACAAAGAACCAGTTGAAGATAGGACAGGGGGTTTCAAAAATGACAAAACAAGAAAGGGGAGAAAGAAACAGCTTCCCATTCTTCCTTTTCTAGCTTTTGCTCTGTTCCTGCACTCTTTCTCCCTCATGCTGCCAGCCTGTCCATGTCTTTGATCCTGGCCTCCTTTTGAGGTGCTGCTAAAAACAGAAAGAGAAAACTCTTTGATGCCCAGTTCTCACAGTGTGACCCCATTTGACTCAGAAACCCATCAGATGACTCGCACACGTACACACGCACAGCGATCGATCCTGCTGGTGTTGCTGTTGTGACCATGCTGAAGGCACACAACCTGGAGCAAAGATGCAGAAGGCTTGCGTGTTTGCACCTAGAAGCAATTTTTTTCCCTTTGGAGGATTAGGCCAGGGGATCATCAAAGGCTCAGTTTGACACACAAAATGAATTAAAAGACACACAACTCAGACTGCAGCTATGTCAGTGGGGGTCGACACCAAGGTTTTAAATGAAACAGAGGCGATGATTTACAGAAGTGAGAGAATAAAAAGCAAAAAGCCAAAATAGTTTAACCAAATATCTATTTTTAAGTCAGTGCGCCCCGTGTTAAGGTACAGTACCTACTGAATCCTATAAACATGCCTCACAAATTGTTTTATCTGTATTAATCGTTTAATGGAAGGATTATAAGCATGGCAATGAATGTCTGTAAAGATGTCTGGGTGTCCCAAAGGGTTTGCCTGTGCCATCAGCCCACTTCAGGCAAATATTTTAATCAAATGTCCTTTTTAATAAGGAGGAATCATAAGCCATCCTCAGGCTTTTATCTGTGACCAAACAAACAATGTGTTTCTGTTTATTCAACATCCATTAATTCTGTGATTTTTTTTCAGATCTCTATTTACTCTCCTAGAAAAGGTGTAGTGCCTTGCTTAAAATATTTGTATCCCTTGGAATTATTGAGTTGTTTATTTCCTGACAGTCACAGACTTAAATCAGTCTTTGATGTGTTTATGATCAAGTAACAAAGTGGCACCTAATTGCTAAGGGGAGGAAATGATTTGCAACTTTTTACAGAAACAAATATAAAGGATGCTTTGTGCATTAGTATGCTACCCCCCTGATTCACTTATTTGGTGGAGAATGTTTGATTTTGAAGAACTGATGCAAGCCTTTTAAGTGCGTCTTGAAATGTTTAGCAAAACAAAACAGATCAAGCTCAGAATGGGTGAAGAGTGTCCATTTTAAATTCTTCCTAAATAATTGAAATGTTATTCTAGAGTGTAACTGTACCTTTCTTGTAACCTGGCCAATCGTTTATTTGTCTAGAAAGGAGAAGGTAAAGCACAACTTCAAAGGGGCAGATGGCATAAGGTTCAAAATAGACTAAGTAAGGTCTATCAGAAGTAACAAGCGTTTATATACAGTATATTGCATTGTTTCAACATAACCATATACTATTGTTTGGATTTTTGTCTTTTTAGGAATAATATGTCACTAGGCACCATTAACTTTTAGACTGTCTCTTAGAAAATGTACATCTTTCATAACCATTCACAGATCTGTGCTTGCACAGCAATTGCAGATGTTGAAAATATAAATTTATGGCAATAGTTTATCTTAAATTATCTATTTATTCAGGATGATCCAAGATTTCTGTCAGTGAAGACTGAACTTAAACATCGACGCAACAGCTTCATGCTTAATTCACGGTTCTAAATGTTTATCACAAAGCCAACATGAGTTTTTTCCCCTAAAAGATCTTCTGAAACCAAAATCCACTCAAAGTGGACGTCCTACATCTTTGACATCTTTAACAATGAAATAATGATAGTACCTTTATAATGTGTGCTGGCATTTTAAAAGGTTTTTGTAAGTCAAATACAAACTTACATTAATTTGTGTTTTTCTGTTTTAGCAAAATGATGGACAGTTTCCTGTAATCCAGCTGGTCGGCATGCTGAGAGGCATCGCATCTGGAATGAGGTGCAGACACACACAGAGATACTTCCACCACACTGATCCTTTTTATTACAAAGATAAACAGGGAAAATATTCTGATCCTTCTGTGATTGAGATCCTTATGCGGAACTGCACATAGTTAAACCTCTCTACCTGCCTTAATGTAAGCCCAGGTATTTACACGGAGCGCTACAACTTGGTGACTTGGCAGGTTGAGATCTTACATTCTATCCCGCTGTAGGACACAGATCCTATCTGTGTTTTACTGCAGGCAGTGATAACACGCAAACATGAACGTATACATAAATATTAAATCTCGTTACGATTTTATCGAATGTGGCTGGCAGGGAAAGCTCACACACAAGAGTACGGAAGCACACAAAGACCCAAATACACACTCTAAATTCCATTATTGTACCAAAGCTGGAAACAGATAAGAAGCATTCAGTCAGTAAATCCTGTTGATGTTACAGGTACCTGGCAGAGATGAGCTATGTTCACCGGGACTTAGCAGCACGGAACATACTGGTGAACAGTAACCTGGTTTGTAAGGTGTCCGACTTCGGCTTATCGAGGTATTTGGAGGAGGACACATCGGACCCCACCTACACCAGCTCACTGGTAAGAAAAAGAATAACTTTTCTGGGAACTATTGTACTGTGTCCTAAGCAAGGAAAAACCCTGCTATGAAATAACAACCTCTTTCATTGATTTTGTGACAGCTTGTGTACTTTTTTGACAGATAGTAGAAACATATTCCACCCTTAAATCCTGGATTTTAGCCAGCAGCCTGAAAAGAAAAGCTTTTGTTCCACCAATGCTTTGTTTTCATTAGGAAAGAAAAGACAGATGTGTTTGTTTGGGTTTGGCGGTGTATCTTAACAAACATCTGCTTTTTCTTTATTACCAGGGAAAAATTGGCCCACTGCTTGGAATATAATCAATATATAGTTTTCTTATTTCTTTTAAACTTGCATGTGTTGTAAGTAAAGTACACTTTATTTTGATGCACTTCCTATGACCTTTTTTCTATACTTTGTTCTACTTAAGCTGAATTTCTAAGCACAACAAATCCCCTGAATGCAGCCTTTCTTTTTTTGTTGTCATCCTTTATATCTGTCTTGTCTTCTTTTTTCTCCCTAAGGGGGGTAAAATCCCAGTGCGGTGGACGGCTCCAGAGGCGATCGCCTACAGGAAATTCACTTCTGCTTCAGATGTCTGGAGTTACGGGATTGTCACCTGGGAGGTGATGTCGTACGGAGAGAGACCTTACTGGGACATGAGCAACCAAGATGTAAGTCAGCAGCACCAGCTTACATGTTGAAGAGCAAGACTGTCTTTTGTTGCGATGTCTGCCACTCTTTGGTGTTTGGAGGCTGCGCTTGTTTGTTTTTCCTTGCAGTCTCTCCCAGCAGGGAGTCGACATGTCTAAGGAAAACACACGGCAAATGAGGATATCAATTCAAATGTCACATGTGTTTTTCTTCCCAGAGCTTTAGTCCAAAGGTATCAGGATTGGGCTTTCTTGCAGATGTTTGCTGCAGGCAATATTTTATTGTAGTGGCAGGTTTATTCCAATTACCTTCACAGTATGATCAATTTGCTGCAGCATTTCTATACCTTATTTCTTTTAGATTTGCATCACGTTGATGCTATTAAGTGCTCTGAGATGAGATTGGTCCTGCTGTGGTTTAGGGAAGAAATAATCACCGGGTTTATAAAAGAAGACATTCCCATATCTCTGCTGTTTATCTGTCAGGTATAATTCCTGAAAATACTTTCCCCCTGCGATCCCTGAGTTTTCAATTTTGTTGTTGAGACTAAAGGAAAGTCATGTTCTGAACATGAAACAATAGGTTCTGAAAAACTGGCTCACAGACATTTTCAGTTTTGGGGATTCAAATCTGAGATTCTAGTTTGTTTTAGGAGTAAAGCCTACTTTAAAGTACCAGGGCTCCAAATCCCAAATCTGGCTTTATGAAACTTTATATTGTGTGTCATAGTTTGACACAAAGCCTCATATGCAGATATATAGTCATATTCAATAAATTTGAATTTGCATTCCAGTGAGGCTGGTTGTCAGATTAAATGTACCTTTTTGAAAAGGTAAAACTTTAAAAAGGTATTAGTTACATCATCAAAAATATATATTTTAAAACAGTTTTGTAAACGATTGAGATTTAATATTACAAATCTTTTTTTTTTCTTTTTTCTATTCTCTTATGGCTTCCTCTTTGCAATGATCTCCTTTAGTTCAATTATCCAAAATATGTCCGTTTAGATAATATTATATTAATATTACAAATCTTCACTGTCGTTATGTTCATTAGCTCTAAGCAAAACATTTTTATAAGTAAAATGCCTGTGTAAATAATTTATAGAATCTACGTGTTTGAAATACTGCAATTCATGAACCCTTCAATAATGATCTGAATTATAGAGTAGGACTGTATATATGTATATATATACTAGTGCTAAGACATGACTGAAATTATTCTAGTTAACTAGAGGCTGTTTAATTAAATGATCGCAGTAGAAACTCAAAGGTCTGGCATGACTTTTATGTAGTGGTTCATCTAGCAATAAAGATCAAGCTCCAAAAGCATTTAGAAAGCTCTACACCTCGTACTTGCTGCAACTTTGTTGGAGAAAGGTCTTATATCAGGTTTTAACGCACATGAAGAGTAGATCTTCAAAGAGGGAGAAAAGTCATTTTATCACCTGAGATACAATTAAATATAATCGAAATTGTGTTGGTTGGTTGAATATTAACAATTTTAAACCCTAATGGTAAAGAGAGAGCTGTATGATCAAGTTTAGAGACACATTCTGAAGAGTTTTTCTATGAAAGGTCTAAATTATTCGAAGCTTTTTCAAATTAGGGTGGTTTTGATCTGACTGTAGAGCTTAACTGATATGGAACTTTGGGGAAATTACTTAAAGCTACAGTGTGTAATAATTACAGGCATATAAAGTCAGAAATTTAATATATTATACATAACTATGTTATTTATCATCACCTATGAGCTCAGCCTTTTAACCATAATATTTGCGTTGCCTTAGAATTCGTTATTTATAATTACATAGGAGCGGGTCTCGCAGCCATGGAGGCTGACATCTTTGCGCTACGGCAAGCGCAGAGGCAACAAACTAGCGATTGCGAGATCTCCCATGACGCTCAAAAATAACTACGGCAAGTTGAGAGAGATTAACTGAGACGGTACTGAACAGTAGATGGCAGTATTATGCCTGAGAAGCGTTTAGTCTGCCTGAAACCAAAGAAGAAGAAGAAGCAGGTATACTGCGCCTCAGTAACAAGAAAGGTGAACAAGGCGGCAGGCGTGAGTGACTTTGCAAACTGTTTGGCACTGTGTGGCCAAACATCAGACGAATGGAGGATCATGCCTACTCTGTATCACAACGAAAAGCGGCGGACACCGAACCCCCGTCATCTAAGAAGCGGAAACACGACGAGAATAAACGCAAGCGTGACAAGAAACGGCAAAAAACACGGATCAACATTGGCACGGCATTTACACGATGGAAGTCACTGATGGAGGAAAAAGGTTTTCAAAGTGACGCTCAAGTTGCCAGTTTTCTCTTGGACAGGTAATTAATCCTACACACACAATTGTCTAATATCACTGCAGTTTTTGGAGTACAGGATGCTCAGACCTGTCTAAAACAATAACATGCTGCATGATGATGCTGTTACTCTCCAGTATACTTATTCAGCAACGTCCCTGACGTTTCACAGGTAATGATTCAGTAATTTTCTGTAAAATAATTTTCTGGATATATACCTCGGTTACTTCTCTCCGGCTCCTTTGGAGATCTTCAAGCCTTTCCTCCTCTGCTCTCACCCCGCTGGCTCCCCTCTCTCGCCTGGCCCTAGCTGCACGGCCTCCCTGCCTTCGCCCTCGTCCTCTCCCTCTCCCTCGCGTTGTAACCCCCGTGCCACCAAAATGACTTGGACTCTGTAAACGGGGGATATATATTCTTCCAGCGAACACAATCTCGCTGTTAAACTAATGACTACAATTACTTCGTCTGTTTATATCACCATGCAAAGCAGCTCACCAAGACGTCACAACGATGTAGAAAAAATAACGGGTATATTTATTATCTTAAGTCTACATGAAATCTATACCCTACACAGACTAATGAAATACTATCTGTAAAATTATCTATGTAAACAAACCTCATCACTTGAGAGGGTAGGTGATGTGGATGTCGTAGAAGAAATTTTGTCCCGTAACGCTCGCCGTACTGTTGGGGGGGAGAAGCGGTGGGGGGGAGATGTTCATGTTGCTGCGGTCTGTAGTCTGACCGCTAGATGTCGCTGAAAATTACACACTGTAGCTTTAAACAGGATTTACTTTGTTATTTTCTTTTGAAGAGTCATGTGCAAAAGGATTTATTTAAAATCCAGTCTGTCTACACAGTTTCTTAGATTTTACATTGCCGGTCCATGGCTTTTGAATCACCAACACTATAGGATAATCTCACAATAATTAAATACAATCTGAATAATTAGTTAGTATAAATTTAACAGTTTTAATCGAATGTTGGGCTCTGCTGTTGCTGTTGGCAGAATGCTGGGTCAGGGTCAGGGGAGGATATCTATATAAATGGTCAGTTTCGGTCTCCAATTAGAGACCCACAAAGACAACAGCCAAGGTAGTTTAAAGGTTCCAGGAAGTTAAGTTTGGTAGACAAGCTTTCAGAAACCCATAGTACTTTCTTTATCATATTCAGCTTATTTTTCTCTCACCTCCTCTGGTTTTCCATTTCTTTTTTGTCTGTATTTTAAATGCTAAGCCTCTTTAGTGACAACCCTTCATGAAATTTAAAGCAAGGCTCTGATGCTTCAGAATTTAAAACAGTAACACCAATGAAGCACACGCATTGCCATTCCCTGCTAACAGTTCTTAATGCCAAGTTTTGTTCCTATTGAGTTTCGTGTCAATCTCTGGGTCAATTTGTGTGATTGTTTGTCACTTTTTGCATAAAAATGGAGAAAGAAAAATCAAAGGGGGAGTGGCGGCCTAGTGGTTAGGGCATAGAGCTTAGAACCCCGAGGTTCTGATTTCGACCCCCACTCCCACAGACTACCACTCTGGGTCTCTGAGCAAGACCCTTCACTCCACTCTGCTCCCCGGATGCCCCACGATGGCAGCCCACTGCTCCCCAAGGGGATGGGTTAAATGCAGAGGTATATTTCCTCAATGTGAGATTGATAAAGTTAAATTATTATTAGTATAAACTCATCCTGTAAAACAAATAATTGTCAGCATATACAAAAAAAACTGGTATCAGCATTGGCCTTCAAAAACCTGTATCAGTTGATCTCTAACATCTATGAAGAGAGAGCAAAAGAGAGGCTGAAACTTTTAAACGGTACAGTGCAGAGAGAATGTCTGAGTTTTCATGTTAGTTGTCTTTCCGTTAGAGTTAATCGGCTGCACTGTTCCCTAATATCTCCAACTGCAGGGGGCATTTAAAGTTAGACTATACTCTAAAATAATCCCAACTCATCATCCCTCTGTCTCCTTCCTCCTTCTGATGTACTCTTTCGCCTTAATCCCTTACCTCCTCCCTGCCATTTCCTCTCGCCTCCTCCTTCCTTTGCGCCTTCACTGCTCTTCCCCAAGCTGCAGCTTCCTTAGAGCTGTAATGACAGAAATTCAGTATAATGACAGAGACAGATTTATAATGGAACAGTCTGTGTATAATGATGGGGGAGAAGTGTGTGTTTCCAGTATGGCTAACGAGGGTCTGCTGGGGCATTAACTATGCATGGAGCTTACACCCTCAGCTCACACTTATCACACATATAGACCCGCTTTGAGCCGAACCACACCCACACTTTTGCACGCTGACATGCGTAAAGTCACACACACACACACACATCCACACGATTTCAAAGAACACAGCGGTGAAATCATCGGAGGAGCCACCGCAGGTGCAGTGTTCGACATGAATTAATCATGAAAGAGACCTGTGATGTTTCACTACACTTGCTACTATTTTGATTGGCATGGATGCTTAGATTGAATTTATGCATCACAAAGCCTAAGAAGTGTGTCTGGGTCAAGTAGAGTTCATTTTGGAAGCAGTTTAATCGTAAGCAAGACTGTTATACAAGTGGCACCTTTTTACAACTCACAGACACACAGTTGCTCACTTATGTATAATTTGTAGAAAGCAAAGAAAATAAACAGAATTTTTTTTTCTTTGATTCAATAGCTGAATGGTTGCGGGAGAGTAAGCACCAAAGTTTGGTTTATACTTGAAGAGCCTTGTCATGAGTCACAGGTGTAAAAAAAAAGGAGTTGGACAGATTACAAGGTCAGTCACAGCAAAGGAGTTTCAGACAAGTCCATAGTAAAAGAAGCTGACAAGTAGAAGTCCAAAAAGTGGCAGAGGTCATGAACTGAGGCAGACAGTGAACATCTAAGTGTCAGGATATTTTTAGTAGGATGACAGAATTAAAAAAAAGAAAATGACTGGTGACATTAATATATGAACAGCAGATTCAGGGAGTATATGGAAGAAAGTAGGAAAAGGTAAAAACAATCTGTAACCTTGCTGAGATTTCATAAATAAATAATATGAATGTTTTTATTTTGAAGTAATTCTCAGGTGTTCTTCTGAAAAAGGAGGTGAACTGGAAGGCAATACCTCAGATATACTAATCTGATACTAACCTATGGTCATCAAGTATGTTTCATGACCTAAAAAACAGGAGTCTCTAAACAAGTTGCACATCTTAGTTCCTTTTAAAAAGGTGCTGGACACTATTATAGGAAAAGAGATGCCCAACAGTGAGATGAATCATACCTGTTTTGTTTTTTTGCTGCATTCATTTTTGCTAAATCACAGATTTTAGGAGTTTCTCATACTAGTCTGGATTCTGTGCCATCTGAAATAGTTCTGCTGCTACTGGCTCTACATAGCATCTGTTATCTTTATGAAACTGCATCTGCTCCACAACAAGCTAAAATAAAGCCTGAAAATATTCCAAGTATGTCTACAAGCAAACCTTAATATGCAGTTTTAAGGGGCAATACAACATTTTTAATTACATTTTGTAGTTACCGACTTACTGCCTTAGCAGAATTTTATTCATGTCTTTGGTTCTATTAAATTTTTCTTACATATCGAAGTAACATCAATATTATAACCTAACTTTTCTTCTCAGAGATTGGGATTGTAATGAATTCGTTTATATAATATGCTAGCAAGTGAATTAAGATTTTAGTTTTACTTCTGAATGACTAAGAAAAAAACCCAGATAGCTTAATATGGTAATTTACTTATGTCATATCGCACATCATTGCCGATCGATTGTTGTCAGACCATTTTATTACACGAAGTAATGTTTTTTTTTTATGTTTGAAAAGCTATTAGTTTATCTCTACCCTGATTAATCTAAATTCTACCAAACAGACTTGAAAGGGCTACCTTGTCTGGAGGCAAACATTGCAGTTATATTTTTCCTGTTGATCTCTCTGTACTCTAGAAAGAATATCCCCTTTCTGATTAAACAAGACAGAAATATATAGTCATTGTTGTGGGAGTAAACTGCCAGCATGTTATCTGACAGAGTAATCAACACATCACAATGTGGTATAAATAAATAATTCACTGTTAATGACATATAGTGCTTAAGGATTTCAGAAGGCGATTACTGGCTTAATTTCATATTTTCCCCTTGGAATCCTAAAAAAATTTGTTGAGTTTCTCTGTTTATTAAAATATCCTACCTTATAATCTTTATTTTTTATGCAAATAAAGGAAAAAGCTTGGAAATATAAGCTGTTTAAATGTTTTGCCTCAGTGAAAGACTTGGGGAAGAAATCACTGCTGCTTTAAGATAGAATATCTGAATAAACTGTGCAACTGCATAAATGGAAATTAAACTGTCAACTGTTTCTCATGTAAAGCTGACTTTGGAGAAAGTGTTCTTCCAAATGCACCAGGTTTCCTTAATGAGACCACAACAGTACTCTGCTTCTTCCTTTTTATCTTTCACTGCTATTGGAAATATAATGAAAAATATAAATTGATATAGTCACAAAAAAACAAAAAAAAAAGTATCAGTGCATTTATTATACGGGTGGAAAAGTAGATGAGTAAGGCACTTCAAAAAGGACAGTGAGACAGTGGTGAAGTGAGGAGTGAGAGATAGGTTTGAGGAGGTTGAGGTGATGTCAGGAACCAGATCCATTTGCCTGCAGATAAAGTTATGATCTATAAAGAGAGAAGGTGATTAAGCTTGGTGTATCTTCTAAATAATTCATCCAGCATCCAAGAGTTACTGCCTCAAGTGGAGGAGTTCAAGTATCTTGGGGTCCTGTTCACGAGTGAGGGGAGAATGGAACGGGAAATCGATAGACAGATGTGGACACTGCGGTCGACGTTCCTATCCTCACCTACAGCCATGAAATCTGGATTATGACAGAGAGAATAAAATTCTGAATACATAATCTGAAATGAGCTTTCTCCAAAGGGGTGGCTGGGATCTCCCTTGGAGATAGGGTGAGGAGCTCAATCTCCAGGAAGAGGATAGGCATACAGTAGAGCTGCCTCTCCTCCATATTGAGAGGAGTAAGCTTAGATGCCAGGGACATTTATTTACACTGTGCAATATTTTGCGCTTTTCGGGGCGACTTTCCAGTCATGCGAGAATTTTCCGACCAGCCGGAATTTCAGCCTGATCATGTGTGTGCGTCTTGAAGTGTACAGGGGGTAACGAGGGGCAATCAGCCTCTTTCGACCACCTCCCGATCAGGAATCGTGAGGTCGGGAGAAAATCAAACATGTTTGATTTTCAGTCGACCGTCTTGGGCAATTCGCTCAGTGGGCATGCACAAACAAGGATTCTTCTTCTTCTTCTGCCTCTCAGATGTAAACACAGAAGCATGAGGGTGAGGGTGCGAGTGAAATGGAGTTCTTTCTGTAAAATTGACACACCAATGAGCTACCACAGTAGTAGCCACCTTTGCTCAGGTGCCGCCTTTTCTTTTTAGGGCTTTCAGCACACAAAATTGCACAAATTGCCAAGGCAGCACGTTTCACTCAAGTGAGCTTCATATTCCTCTTCCAATTGTTTGGCTTCCAGATAGACGAGTTAGAGTAGTGCCATCTCACTGCGGAGCTGAGTCTGATGGTAGATCGCATCAGAGCGTCATGCTGCACATACATCGTGAGCTGTGAACTCACAATGTACGATGAAACCGCAGGGTTTCGCCGTACAGTGTGAGCTGTAGCTGCATGCAATGATTGAAAAAATCGCACAGTGTATGCCCGGCTTTAGGGTTAGTGTGGCCTCCCTTGGGAGGTAGTTCAGGCATGTCTTACCGGGAGGAGGCCCATGGGACGACCCTCCAACATGACTCTGGTCATGTCTCTCGGCTGTCCAGGGAGCGCCTCTTGCTTCTCAAAGAGGAGCAGGAGGAGGTGTCTGTGGAGAGGGAAGTCTGGGGGTCTCTGCTTAGACTCTTGCCCCAATGACCAGTGGGTGATGACGAGTATCTTCTGGAGAAAAAATCAGTATCAACCGTAACCACTTTAGTAATACCGTGAAAGGAAACATTTTCAAAAATATCTCACCTCTGTTTTTCTTTATTCAGCCTTTATTAAGTAACATGAACAAAAGTTCAGATTAAAAACTAAAAGAAATATAGAATTCTGCCTTGGATGTATGCTTTTTGTGATCATCTATCTTATTACTTCTATGCTAATGAGGTTTCTCAAGCAACATTGTCATTTAAGAGACACCCACTCCTAATCACCTTCATGGCACTGTACTCCCATCAGGCTGTGCTGCTTATCCCTAAACGCTTTTAGGTTGCCTCATTTTGATTTTGTCTGCTTTTTAATCATCTATATCATAAACTGAGCAATATTATTTTGACTGCAGACGCTAAGAACAGAAATGTAGAGTAAAGGGGTCTACTCCTCCATTTATACTAGAATTACCAAACAAAACACAAGTCATAAATTCTTTCTTTGTTTAATTGGTCCCTTTTAACGTTTTAATGTAGAGCTTGTTGTGTGTAGGTGTATTTTCAGACATGATGACAAAAAGAAGGGATCAGAGAAAGGTTAATGGAAAATTAGGCTCACAAGAAGCAGTTTGTCTCTGTGATCCTTTTCAGCTTTCATGACAGCTCCGCGCTGCTTGTCTCTTTGATCATCAGACTGACACCATGTTGTTGACTATACCAGATGAAATGTTTAGAACTGCGGCTTAGTTGGGAAATTCAGAGATCATAAAGATCTAGATTTGTGACAAAGCCAATAGGTCAGGTAGACAGATAGAAATATTTTCTTTGTAGATTTGCATTGTTTAGAATGTTTTTCCATGTCCTATAGTATATCCCGATGTATTTTTTCCTCACCTGGAGACGTGACAAAACAGCAGATGCAATGAAATAAATAATAAAATAAAAATATTGGAACAGGTTTTACAGCTGTTTAAAAAAATGCACATTTGGTTCTAAGTTACAGACTTGACCAGTAAGCATTTATTGCATTTATCATTTTAAAACAAACCAATGTTGGACCTTGTTGGCATTTTACATGGATATTTTTTGTACTTTCTAAATATCTTTGGATTTTTACTTTTCTATCACTGTTTCATGTGAATTCAGGTCAGATTACTCAGATATACACGCTGCTATTACTACATTTTAAAGAGTTGTAGTATTTTATATGCTTTACCTTAAACATTTTATTATTAGATTATGGTTTGCATTTTTGTGCTCTGTTTATCAATTTCCTATGAAAAGTAGATGGCTGTGGACAATCAGTGTTGTAATTCAGTGAAAATTAAAATTGAACCTGAAGTATCTAAGTCTGTCTGTCTGTCTGTCTGTCTGTCTGTCTGTCTGTCTGTCTGTCTGTCTGTCTGTCTGTCTGTCTGTCTGTCTGTCTGTCTGTCTGTCTGTCTGTCTCTATCTATCTATCTATCTATCTATCTATCTATCTATCTATCTATCTATCTATCTATCTATCTATCTATCTATCTATCTATCTATCTATCTATCTATCTATCTATCTATCTATCTATATCTATGTATCATTTGTTAAATAATGTGTTAACTTTATTAACTTTTCCTCATGTCTCTTCTCTTGTCCCAGGTAATAAATGCCATAGAGCAAGACTTCCGGCTGCCAGCTCCCATGGACTGTCCAGTAGTGCTGCACCAGCTGATGCTGGATTGCTGGCAGAAAGACAGAAACACGCGGCCAAAGTTCTCTGATATCGTCAGCATGTTGGACAAAATGATCCGTAACCCCGCCTCACTGAAAGCCGGCACCAACAACATAGCTCCTGGGTGAATAGAGATATTAACTGATTTCCATATCCAAACACGCTCTGTTTGTGTGATACAGTTGAGATCAAAATCACCCGTTTACTTCTGCCTGCTCCCTGCAGTCCTCCACATCATCCCTTGTTAGACCGGGGAGCTCCAGATCTGAGCAGGCTGAGCTCAGTTGAGGACTGGTTGGCTGCTCTAAAGATGACCCAGTATAGAGATTCCTTCATCGGATCCGGGTTCACATCTTTGCCGCTAGTCACACAAATCACAGCTGAGTATGTCTGATTTAACTGCCATTGTTTCTGTTTTGTCTTTTGCTGCCCACTCTTTATTATTCTTTTTTCTTTACTTTTTATGTCTTGCTACCTTTCTTTAGATATCATGTGCCCTTAAATAGCACAGATTTGTAAAATAGTTGCAAAACTGCATAAATGCTTCAATAGACTTTACAGCTGCTGATGTTCCATACCAGTTGATCCACATAGGCTTCAATCAGTGCTCTCTGCACCTAAAATATTCTACAGGACTTAAATACAAAGTGGAAATCCACCCAAAGGGATTAATTAAATGTATATGCCAAAACTCACTAGTGTGAAAAAAAAAGGAGTTTGCAGGTATATGAGCCAGTGAACTCTGTTTCACATTTCATGCAGCATGAACAACCTCCTCGGAGAAAAATGGACGGGTGACCCGCTTGAACTCACATTTCTTGGGTTTTTAATTTGCACTCCTTGCATCATAAATTCAGCATGGCATGTATATTTAATTAGGTTTTAAAACTGCTGGTTATGTTACATTTTTTTATAGTCAATATGAAGCCGTGGATATTGCAATATACATGGGACGCTTGGGCTATGCCTTTTCTTGTTTCTTTTTTAGCATCAGTCGAGTAAAACTGAGTTATGCTTGATTTTTTTAACACATTCTTACCTAGATCATTTCAATTATTATGAACAGGAATTTAAAAACAGATAAAGCTGTCCCAATATAAATAATATTAAAATGACAATTTTACATTTTTTTGCAGTTTTACAAGGCTGGCCCTGAGTGTACCAGTAATTTCCACTCCAGTCAATCATAAATTATATCAACACATTATTCCTACACTATCAGCTGGTAAGATATGCCTGTTTCCACATCTTCACAGGGACCTGGACCGGATTGGAATATCTCTTGCTGGACATCAGAAGAAAATACTGACCAGTGTGCAATCAATGAGGCACCACAATGATGACCAGTCCCCGACTGAATCCGTGTAGCCATTCATGGAAAAGCACAATTTTAATAGGTTTGATCGTTGATTCCCTGAGTGAACAAAATAATTTCTCATTAATTTATTTGTTACTAGCCTTTCTCTTACAATCCTTGAATCCAAACCTAAAGACTTCAAGATTGATCCTGCATTCGGTGGACATGTTTCCTCTGGCATTTAGCCTCTAAAGTTTGAGCACTCCCTTGAATTTTATGTACAGGTATTATTTGTTATACAGACTTAAAACAAGAGTGAGCAACACTGTGGAAAATAGAAAACTATTCTCCTCAAGGGTATCTTCTGAAAGAAAAAGCAGAGAAAAAAAATCACCCAGGTTTCACTTCAGGCTTACTTTGATTTCAGACACTTAGCTCCACAAGCCATTTTCAATCAACTGACTCATTTAAGGAAGACAGGGTGTGGTTTTTATATATATATATATGAGAGGATAAATCACAGGAACAAAATACTGTAAAAAGGACCTAGATGAGGAGACATTTGTGTGAATGGATAAAACGGACTGAAAGCCTGCCAGAAAATCTTTCTGGATACAAGAAAAGACCCACAGCAGGCCTTCTTGATTCCAGTATGTTGCGTTATGAGTATTTATGTCATTGTGTTTCTGAAAACTAAGACCATTTGAATCTTGAATGGGATTTTTTGGAATCAATCTTCACATTGAAGAGTCTGTAAATATTGTTATATGGGAATGTCTTCCTTCTTTGTTCACTTGCTTAAACGTTTGCTGTTTTGCAATTATTGAAGCATATGTGACTATCTGTTATTTATTTTTCATTTTACTCATCATTAGTGCAACCATTGAAATGCTGTTGACTGTGAATCAGAAAGTGACCCACATAAAATACATGATTCAGAATCAACTTAGAGTGACAATTTTTGGGTAATATCCACATACTGTACTGTCAGCGAAGAGAAATATGAGAGCAGAGTTTAATAAAGATGGATATGAAGGCACATATCAGTAAATTAGAATATTTTTAAAACGTTATTTTGTTGTTGTTTAATTAAAAATGTAAAACAAATATGGAGTACGGATAGATTAAACACAGTAATATATGACATTTGTTTTTTGGGGGGGATAAATTTAGATCAATATGGCTATCAGCTAATTAAAACCTATAACTTTGTTTGATATGGATTTTTATGCAGAAGTGCACTACTGAAGAGTGTAATCTGCCAAATATTCACTTAATTTTGGTAAGGGCAGCTTTTTCCTCCTTTCTTTTAATCAAATCTTTTATTTTGGTACCTTGCTTGACTATTTTTAACTAAGTCATAAGTGCAAACTTTGAGGCACTCCTAACAGTTCTAATGAAGTGAATACCTGAAATATTTTCTATATGTTATACTCAACTTTAATGCAAGACAGAGATCTTTTATTCTAAATCTGTTAGGGCTACTTTTGCATAAATTACTGCATCAAGTCTTACTGACATGGAGGCCTGGGTTTAGCACTTCTGACCTTCCTTTTGACATGACACTCTAGATTCTCTCTGGGGTACAAGTCAGCTAAGTTTGCTTGCCACCATCTGTGTGTGCGTGAGTTCGTGAAAGTGAGAATAACTGAATATAGTTTAAAGCGCTTTGATCAAGTCTCTTGACTTGAATATATAAGCACAGGCCATTTATCATTTTCATCTGAAAACTAGATTAGGACACCATAGCTACACTTTAGTCATTTTTCCTTAGCTCAGACAAAATTATCCTGGTTTTTATTTCTAATGTGGAGGTAGCTAGTTCTGTACAAGAAATACTATAACAGGTATCTCGTCTTGGAAACACGTGTCTGTGTTGGTTCTAGCCTCAATTCTTGCTGTGTGATTCCTATGGCGATCAGAAGGCCCAGTGGCGCCTGTGTGCCTCGCTTCTGTCAGTGAGCCCCAGGGCAGCTGTGGCTACAATCTAGCTTGCCATCATCAATGTGTGTGTGTCTGTGTGTGTGTGAATGACTGAATGTAGTGTAAAGTGTATCCTGGCATCTCCTGACTTCAGAAAGCGCTATACAAGTACAGACCATTTACCATTCTGCCCCAAATTCTTAAATGAAATTATCATATTGCTCGTGCACCTTTTCTGAAGCCTAGTTTTTTCCTTAGTCTCTAAACAGCCAACTTTATTAAATAACAGCTGTTGCAACAGTTAAGTGGAAGGTGGTAATGGTAATGTCAGAAGGAACTATTTTCTGTGATGTTTTTAGCCATTGCAAAACCCAGATATAGCATTTCTGTAATAAAAAATAATAAAAATATAATCACATTTTCAGAGAAATTGAAGATTTGGTTTTGCATCTGTAGGCCAAAACCAGTTGAAAAGGGTGAAACTGACTTTGCTAGAAATTAATGTATTTGTTATATATTCTTACTTTTTAAATTAAGGTACCGATTTAAATTGATTTTAAATAATATTGTAATTCACTCTTATGTGCCTGTATGGACTTAAGCAGTTCATTTTCAACCTACAAAATAAAAAGATTATCTCCTACGCACTTAGGTGTAGAGGAAGAGAGCAGCTTAAGAGGCAATGTGAAATAAGACTTTTAACAGCTCCCATCCACTATACCTCAGAAGAGGTATTGTCTCTCAATGTCCGTGTGTTTTGGCTGCAAATCTTAAAGCTGGAAGCCAGTCAAGTGTTAGAGCAGTGCATGCACCAACTAGAAATCCAGTGTTCATTTTGTGTTCATACAAAGAACAAATCTCAGTGCTGTTTAAAGTGTATGGCTGCCATCCAGATGGCAGTTATCCTCCTGCAGCAGGCATTCTGGATAGACATCCCCTACTCTTCGTTTTTATACTTTTTTTTTATCCGTTTATAGACTATTGGATATGTCTTTGTCAGCAGGGTTTGGTTTGACTTCCTTTGTGTCAGATTGATGCGTCCTATTAAAGCAGAGCAGTTTGCACATCTACTTGGGCCAGTTGACCTATCTCTGTTGTTGTTTGTGCACAGCAACCTTTCTAACACTCGAAGAATACATTTGAAACAGTAAAGACTTAACAGGCAAATAGCAATCTGTTCTTTGAACCAACATGTACATTTGTCAGTTGTTTGTCCTTTTTCAGTCCTTAATAAGATGTTTGACTCAATTGTGAATGAGGCTTGTTCTTACTGTGGGCACGCTGGTAAAGAAGTGTTTTTATCTCAGCACTGAGCGGATTACCAGCTGTAAAACAACAGCAGTCTCCTCACTCTGCCTTCAAACCAAACCTCTGGACAAGCGTGCAAACCCACATCCTAAGGATTACCCTTAAGTAGCTCTGATTAGATTTGATAATTTCATTTGTCACCTGCTGCAAGCCCCAACTCACAGAGAAAGTGACAATATTTAGCAGTTTGCTTTCACCACTGCAAATTCAGCTTTGTTTGTCTCACAGCCCCTTCTCCCCACTGCTGCAAAGCCCCAAAGTCTTTTTATTTATTAACATTGGGACATTGAAGTGCTGTTTCAGAACCTCTCAAAATTTTTTGTTTCTACTTTTTTTTTCTTTTCTCAAACTATGTCCTCACGGCGCAACCGCAATTGCATTTGTTGCTTGGCAACGGCGGCTTATTGAACATTTTATCAGGAAGTATTGAGATCAACTGGGAGCACGTCAGTGGTTCAGAGGAATAATTTGTTGTAAATAGATGCCTCTGGAAAAACGGGCTCAGCGATAGCTCGGGGGTTTAATAAGAATCAGACAACTAGTGCGCCTAAAAGCTCATATTGAATGCCGCCTAAAATGTCAACACAAGAAATGAAAGCCATCAACTTGGGCATCTTTTAGCATGTGTTACTTGGCCGTGATGAATGTATATTTTGTTTTATTTTTACACCTTCTAAGTGAGAGTCTTAGGTGTCTGCTTTACATGAAAATTGACATTTTAGCATTTCAGTGTGAACTAAATAAGATGAAAGAAATACAAGACCTGGTGTAAACATTCTCTGTAAAGAGTTAGTGCCCTCCAAAAAATATTTACATTCCCCTCCAGGATTTTTTTTTTTTTTTTGTATCAGTTTAATCTCACCCTAAAAAATATGTCATTCTAACTTCATCTTTTGAATATTCACCAATTAAGGACATGTTTCACAACTGGAAAACATGTTAATGAACTAACCTCTTTCCAGAGTTGTTGTAACACCAAAAAAAGTCCATATACAGTACGGCGAGTATATTAAAACAACACTGTGCAACATTTAGTCACTAGGGGTGCTAGACCTTAAACTTCTAAGTCCAGCGCCACAATTGACAGCAAAGCACTGTGCAAAATTACACTTGATGTTCTGATATCAGACCACTTTGTACAAGCAGACTGAGAGGACATTAAGTTACAGCACTAGTAAAGACAAGACCACATCCACCCTTCTAAATGAAATCCTATATTAAAAACCAAAACTACACTATATTGCCAAAAGTATTTGCTCACCTGCCTTGACTCACATATGAGCTTAAGTGATATCCCGTTCCTAATCCATAGGGTTCAATATGACGTCGGTCCACCCTTTGCAGCTAGAACAGCTATAACTCTTCTGGGAAGGCTGTCCACAAGGTTTAGGAGTGTGTTTATGGGAATTTTTGACCATTCTTCCAGAAGCGCATTTGTGAGGTCGCACACTGATGTTGGACGAGAAGGCCTGGCTCTCAGTCTCCGCTCTAATTCATCCCAAAGGTGTTCTATCGGGTTGAGGTCAGGACTCTGTGCAGGCCAGTCAAGTTCATCCACACCAGACTCTGTCATCCATGTCTTTATGGACCTTGCTTTGTGCACTGGTGCACAGTCATGTTGGAAGAGGAAGGGGCCAGCTCCAAACTGTTCCCACAAAGTTGGGAGCATGGAATTGTCCAAAATGTCTTGGTATGCTGAAGCATTCAGAGTTCCTTTCACTGGAACTAAGGGGCCAAGCCCAGCTCCTGAAAAACAACCCCACACCATAATCCCCCCTCCACCAAACTTTACACTTGGCACAATGCAGTCAGACAAGTACCGTTCTCCTGGCAACCGCCAAACCCAGACCCGTCCATCAGATTGCCAGATGGAGAAGCGCGATTCGTCACTCCAGAGAACGCGTCTCCACTGCTCTAGAGTCCAGTGGCGGCGTGCTTTACACCACCGCATCCGACGCTTTGCATTGCACTTGGTGATGTATGGCTTGGATGCAGCTGCTCGACCATGGAAACCCATTCCATGAAGCTCTCTGCGCACTGTTCTTGAGCTAATCTGAAGGCCACATGAAGTTTGGAGGTCTGTAGTGATTGACTCTGCAGAAAGTTGGCGACCTCTTCGCACTATGCGCGTCAGCATCCGCTGACCCCGCTCCGTCAGTTTACGTGGCCTACCACTTCGTGGCTGAGTTGCTGTCGTTCCCAAACACTTCCATTTTCTTATAATACAGCTGACAGTTGACTGTGGAATATTTAGGAGCGAGGAAATTTCACGACTGGATTTGTTGCACAGGTGGCATCCTATCACAGTTCCATGCTGGAATTCACTGAGCTCCTGAGAGCGACCCATTCTTTCACAAATGTTTGTAAAAACAGTCTGCATGCCTAGTTGCTTGAATTTATACACCTGTGGCCATGGAAGTGATTGGAACACCTGATTCCAATAATTTGGATGGGTGAGCAAATACTTTTGGCAATATAGTGTATGTCTAATCCGGTAAGTGTCAAATCTGTTCTGATGCCGAACAGTGACTTTTAGATTAGATATTTATTGTTTTTAAGGGAGCTCCGGCTGTAATAAATGCTCTGGATCACATGACTCTTTCAGGAACAGTCCGGCCCTCTCAGTCTGCATCAAATACTGTATATTGACCTAAAAATAAATTAATACACGTCAAATTACTCTAATATTTGAGTCAAAACTTACACAGTG